TCACTTGGTAGTCCAGGCTGGCCTCGAACTCACAGAGATCCACCTGGCTCTGCCTCCCAAGTGCTGGGATTAAAGGCGTGCGCCACCACCGCCCGGCCTTTCCTTCTTTTTATTCTCTATTTCTTTTTCGTTTTTTAACTTGACAAACAGCAATATTGTGTGTGTCATTTTAATACATGTCTTTTAGGATCCTGTATTATGAGACTGAGAGACACAGAACGAAATTCACAGAGAATTTCAGAGACCAACCACAAGACATGGAGGGTCACACGAAGAGTCCAGTGAAATGAGGACTTTACCGGAAGGGAACGGGCCTTACGCAAGGCCTCTTGGCTGGGATGGCAAAACTGGACTTGAACCTAGAAACAGAGACCAGAAGAGCCCAAAACAGGACTCAGTCCAGTACTGGATCCACAACACTGCCTCCCTGGCCCTTTATTTTCTTGGCCAACACCCCATAACCCCACCTCCTCGTCAAGAACCAGGCCCAGAGTTGAGAAGCTTTTGCCCTATTCCAAGGCAATCGCAGGCACCAGTGGGGAGATTTAAGGTCAGCCTCAGGGCCAGGAGGCCCCAGTCAAGTGACAGAGGGTTCTCGAGGTGTGGCCCCCACTCACCCCACCATGCCAGCTGGCTGAGAGCCCGGGGTCTACAGGAAAGGTATGATGGGATGGTAGGAGGGGAGTAAGCTCACTGGAAGAACCAGGAAAGGGGGCAGGGCAGAGGAGGGGCATGGAAACTTAAGAGCAGATGCCCCCCCACACGCACACACAGGCGCTCAGAACATTCTTACAGAAGACCGGCACACAGGTGAGGGGGAGCTCCCAAGAGAGGGCGCTGACTCCGTCCCTGAGGATCTCTTCTGGGACTTTCCTGCCTGTCTCAGCTTGTGTCTACGGTGCTGGTGCCGACTGTCCTCCTTCAGTCCCTGTGAGGACCAGGGTCTTCTTAACTTGACAAACAGCAATAGCATGTGTTTGGTTTTAATATATGTCTTTTAGGAGCCTTTATTTTACGGTATCTATCTCTGGGTGGTTGCAGTTTTTCTCGTTTGTTGTTGTTGTTGTTTCTGTTGTTGTTGTCTGGGTTGATTTGAGCTCCTTTGTTTGGGGGGAGGGTTATTATTGTTTTTATTTGAAGGGGTTGTTTTGTTTCTTTTTTTGTTTTTGAGTCAGGGTTTTCATGCCCAGCCCTTGACTGACTGAAAACCCACTTTATTAGATAAGGCTAGCCTCAAACCTTCCTGCTTTTGCCTCAAACCTTCTTCCTGCTTTTGCCTCCCCAGTGCCAGATTGCAGACATGCAACAATGTTTGGCCTGTCTCTGTTTCTTGGTATGCATCTCTGAACTAGGTATAGGGGCACATGCCTGTAATCCCAGCACTCAGAGGCTGGGGCTGGAGGACTGGCATGCATCAGAAGCCGGTATAAGCTACAGAGTGAGAGCCTGTCTTCATAGACCAGAAAAAAAAAAAAATTGTGTGTATCTCTCTCTCTCTCTCTCTCTCTCTCTCTCTCTCTCTCTCTCTCTCTGATCTGCCAGCCTCTCTCTGTACCCATCTGTGTGTCTATCTTTTGTTATTTCTCTTTGTGAGAGTCAGTGCTTTGATAGATGGTTTCAGATAGACAGATAATAGATAGAAAGATAGATAGATAGATAGATGATAGAGATAGAGAGATAGACAGATGTCAGATGATAGATTATTGATAGATGATAAATAATAGATGATATATTGGTAGGTGGATAGATAGATAATACAGCTACACAAACTGATAAGACGTGAATTCCACTGTTTCCCATTTCATTGTCTGTGTATTCCTCTGTCTCCACCTGTCTCCAAATTCCTTTCTCATGTTTACATTTTGGCGATCGTATGTGTCCTCGAACACCCTCTCCCTTTTTCTCCCCTCCTCCTCTCCCTCTTAGCCTCTGACCTCACTCTGCATCTCCTTCTCTCCACTACCCCTATTGCCTGGACCCAGAGGAGGAACATTCCAGAAGATTTTGAATAGAGGGATTCCACGCTCTCCATCTCCCTTTGCCCACAGGCACTGCAGCTGCCTTCACTATGGATGGTGTGAGCACAGCCATCTTGCTTCTCCTCCTGGCCGTCATCTCTCTATCTCTGACCTTCACCTCATGGGGCAAGGGCCAGCTGCCTCCGGGACCCAAACCTCTCCCCATCCTGGGAAACCTGCTGCAGCTGCGCTCCCAAGACTTGCTGACCTCACTGACCAAGGTGCAGGGGATCTGCCTTTGGTGAAGGGCAATGGGGAGGGAAAGGGGTCCCACGACCCCCAGGCCCCCAGTAAACTCTCGCTTCCACCTCCAGCTAAGTAAGAAGTATGGGTCCGTGTACACAGTGTACCTGGGGCCCAGGCGAGTGGTGGTCCTCAGTGGATACCAAACTGTGAAGGAGGCTCTCGTGGACAAAGGGGAGGAGTTCAGTGGCCGTGGCTCATACCCTGTCTTTTTCAACTTCACCAAGGGCGATGGTAAGCCTGCCCCCATCTGCTCCATATCTAGGAAGGGAAGAAGGGTGAGAGACCGTCATCTCGATGGCATTCAGAGCTGCAGATCTCACTAATGACCTCATGAAGGAGGCAGACAAGTGGTCCTGAAGGGAGAGTGGGATTACCCCGCTTCAACTCCTACTCCCACCTTGAACTGAACAGCCATGTCAGCCTCCATGTCCGCTTGGTCCAACCCCATGCTCACCCCCAATCTTTACTCTGTCTCAACCACAGCATCAAATTTCCACTCAGTCCAGTAGCCAAGTGCTGACCTTTGTCCCAGCCTGTCTACCTCAACTCAACACCAATCCCTATCAGCTCTAACTCCATGTTCCCCATTTCAAATGCCATCTCATTTGGAGGAGGGGACGTTTGTTTGCATGCCATTTGAGACAGGGTCTGTCTCCACCTGTCTCCATGCCCCTGCCCTGGGAATGCAGTCATGGTCGCATCTAGCACTGGGAATCCAGTCATGGTCGCATCCAGCACTGGGAATCCAGTCATGGTCACAGCCAGCACATGGGTGCGGGGGAGAGAACTCAGGGCCCCGTGCTTGTGTGGCAAGCACCTTACCCACCAAGCCGCCTCCTCACTCCGGTCCTCCTCCCTCATCCGATACCTAAACGATGAAGATGACTAGTCAGGTCAAGAGGGAGAGAAAGTGTTCCAGGGCTGGGGAGCTGACTGTGAGGATAAAGCACTGGCTGTAGAAGCTTGAGGTTGAGAGTTCGGATCCCCAGCACTCATGTAATGCCAAGTGGGCATGGCTGCTGTCTGTAATCCCAGCACGTGAGAGGCAGAGACAAGGGATCCCCAGAGCTGGATAGCTAG